TTACAAGTAGAATACATCCAATCAAAATTGGAACGCTGGGTATACTACTCTAACAGGTGAGTCTCGTACATGTGACTCACGTACAGAACAAATGAGCTGACGTGTCATTGGGTTTGATGCTGAATTCTTTCACCCACTGAATTGTTGGCGTCCCGGTCTCGCGAGCTCTTTTTCAGCACCATGGAGGAGCGCGTTTGGTCAGCTTCTAGGGGGTCAAGTCTGCTGGGCCGGACTGCTCGGTTGCAAGCCGCGTAGTGCTTCATTGGTCTCTTGTCTCGAGCCCTCCGGCATATTCTGTGGTTCCCTCTTTTTCCCCTACCCAGAAGCTCTTTGGGTCCAGATCTGGATGAAGATATATCTAGGCGGTTTGAGTTGCCGCAGTTTTCGGATTTGAAGTCTAGTTCTGCTGCTTGTTTGAGGTTCTTGGTTGTGGGTGGGACTCGGTTGTCAGTTTTAGTGGTCGTGTGGCGTTTGCTAGGTATAGGGGAGGTTTTACTCTAGTTTTTTATTAGGTGTGTGTTGTTTTACTTTTAATTTTTTTCTTTTCGTTAAGTCCAGCGACGTCTCGCATTTAGTTTTCCTTGTGCAATGTTATCTCCTTTTTGGAGTTGTGTTTTGGTGTTGATTAGGTTATACCCTTGGACATGTGTTGTTTCAAGGTGTAGGTCCAGATTTTCTGGTTCCTTAGTGTCAGTTGGCACTCCTCTTTGTCCTCTTTTGCGTTTTCTAACTTTATAATATAATTGTCGTTTTGAAAAAGAAAAAAAAAACAAAAAGTAATGCTCTCGCACAAGATAAATACTACTACAGTATAAAACAAATATCGACTTGGTAAACTAGAACTAATACATTTTTTATTATTTTTATAAAAAGTACCAATTACTAAGTCTCGTTACGGAACCATCCCGTTAAGATTTGTAACCGTTAGATGCACATTTACATGAACAGTTACAAATCTCAATGGAATGATTATGTAACGAGATTGTAGTATTTTCCTCACTACATACTAAGGAATGTTCTCACGCAAAATAAGTACTAGTAAATTATGGAAACTATAAACATAGTAAACTTGTAATCAGTTTTTCAACTCGAACCGGCCCGGCGGGTTGACCCGGGACCTAGTCGACCCGGAGCTGGAACCAGTACGGGTGGGTGATTTGGACCGGGTAATATTGGACCCGGTCAAACTCGGCCACAACCCTGTCAACCCGGTCGACCCGGGTCATTGACCCGGCCGGTTCAACCCGGTTGATACGGTCCATATTTTTTTTATTTTTTTATTAATTTTTATATAAAAATATAGAACTATATAAATATATTGATATAGTAAATATTTATTGTGAGATATAATTTTTTTAACACTTTTATGTATAAATTTTTTATACAAAACATTTATTTTTGTTACTTTTATGTATATGTATATGTCAAAAATACTATATATAAAACTTAAAAATTTTTAAAATTAATTTTCTAAATCAACAAGTGACCCAACGATTGAACTGGTGACCGATAACCTGGAGAGGTGCCTGGGTCAATTTCCGGAGTGGTTTAAAAACTATGCTTGTAATCTTTTATTTGTAACCGGCTGATCATGATTTAAAATATATATAATAAAAAAGAAAATATGAGAGAGAATAAATAAAAGAAAAAACCCCACCTAACATAATGACCACTCAACTAAAATTTCGTTTGACCAGATAAACCCCAGTAGTCAAACCACGGTTAAGATATCTATCCCGCTCGTGTGTGAAAACAGTAGAAATGGGTGAGCAGAGCATAATAAAAACCCACAGAAATTGTCCCTCCCTTGAGAGATAGTATAGTATAGCATAGTTGAGTAGTATGCTGTATGTAGATAACTCATCAACTAACAAACAAAGTGACACACACACAAACACAAGCACAGAGAATCTGCCAGCGTTTGCTCCTTCACTTATAAATAATTCCTCTGTTTGTCTCACCTCATCCTATCCACTTACATATATGATTATATTCCCTATTCTCTGACTTAGTAATAATAATAGCAGCAGCAGCAGCAGCAGTATGCGTGCAAATTTGGAGGTCCCTCACTATTTTCAGTGCCCCATTTCCTTAGAAATGATGCACGACCCCGTCACCCTTTCCACCGGCCAGACCTACGACCGGTCCAGCATCGAGTCGTGGGTCTCCACCGGCAATACCACCTGCCCCGTAACCCGCATCCCCCTCCCCGATTTCACCCTCATCCCCAACCACACCCTCCGCCGCCTCATCCAGGACTGGTGCGTCTCAAACCGCTCCCCCCACATCCCCACCCCCAAGCAGCCTGCCGACCCCTCCCTCGTCCGCACCTTCCTCGCCCGCGCCTCCTCCGCTTCCGCTCCCTACCCTTCAAGGCTCTCCGCCTTGAAAGCCCTCAGAGCTTTGGCACGAGACTCCGACCGAAGTAGATCCGTCATCACAGCCGCCTGCGGGGCCCGCCAGATCCTGCTCTCCATAGCCTTCCCCGACCTCGGATCTGAGCCCTCCGACCTGAACCACGAGGCGCTCGCGCTCCTCTCCGTCTTCGCCCTACCGGAATCCGACTGCGAGTGCCTGGCCGGTGACCCGGACCGGGTGGGCTACCTCGTCAGCCTGCTCTTCAACTCGTCCATCGACGTCAGGATCAGCTCCGCGTCGGTTATCGAGGCCGTCGTTGCCGGGATCCGCTCGCCCGACCTCCGATTGAGAATCAGCGGCGCTGAAGGCGTGTTCGACGGCGTCGTCGGGATACTGAGCTGCGACTGCCCGAGGGCGGTGAGGGCCGGGATCAAGGCCCTGTTCGCGCTGTGCCTGGTCAAGCAGCACCGTCACCGGGCAGTGGCGGCGGGTGCTGTGGCGACACTGGTGGACCGGCTGGCGGAGTTGGAGAGGTGCGACGCGGAGAGGGCGCTGGCGACGGCGGAGCTGCTGTGCCGGATCCCGGCGGGATGTGAGGCGTTTGGGGAGCACGAACTGACCGTGCCCTTGCTGGTGAAGATGATCCTGAAGGTGTCGGAGCGGGCGACGGAGTACGCAGCGGGGGCGCTGCTGTCGCTGTGCTTGACGTCGGAGGCGGCGCGGCGGGAGGCAGCGGCGGCCGGAGTCCTGACTCAACTGCTGCTGGTGGTGCAGAGCGGTTGCACGGAGAGGGCGAAGCGTAAGGCGCAGATGCTGCTGAAATTGCTGCGGGACTCGTGGTCCCGTGATTCCACCGTTGCCAAACACGATGCTGCTTTACTTGGAAACGACGTTGTTTTGTTTTGAGACATTTTTTTTTTTTTTTTGGAATAAATCGGTTTTTTACTCCTAAAATTAAGGTGTATTTTATTTGTAAAAAAAAAAAAAAAAGATAAAAATAAAAAAAGCCAGGAAAAGAAAATAGCTTAAGTAATACTAGTAGTTGTGGCTCTTGTGGGGACTTCTTAGATTTGTTAGTTGTTACTAATAGGATTGGTAAATATGCAAAGGTTTCTTGTGGATTTGGGATAAGATTTTTCTTTATTGTTTAAGTAAAAGACTTGAGAATTATTAAGTTCATTTTTTTTGGGAGTATTTCAGGTGCATGTAGTATTTACAATATATATGTGAGCGAACGCTATTTTTAGCGTCTTAAATTACTTCATTGTTTGTCGACCTGAAGATGTCTGACTTTCCCTTCATGGTGATATAGGTACTCGACTTAAGATATGTTGCTTCAACCTACTTGTGGGCGGCTCGACTTGTCGTCCGGTCGAGTAACCAACACTTAAACCGGTGTATCATAATATGGCTATATCACATGACATTGACGTGGCTTAATGCCATGTCAGACTTCTGTTGGATTTTTGTTCACGAAACCATCATTCATATGTTAATTTGCAAAAGTGGTAAAAGTAATGTATTAATTTGTAAACTTTTAAAGATGATGATTAAATTGCAAAAAATATGAAATGTGGTGCATTAATATGCAATTTTGCCTTTCTAAAATGAACATAATTAGACTTATTCTCTATTTTTTTTTTCTCCTCTCCCCTCTCTCTTGCACGAACCCTAGCACTATTTCTTCTCTTTTATGTTTCTTCGAATTTTGTTTGATTATATTGAAGACGACTACCATAAATGTGTGGACAGGTAAAAAAATTTCCATTTAAGGAATTAGTCAATAACTATAATAATAATAATAATAATAATAATAATAATAATAATAATAATAATAATAATAATAATAATAATAATAATAATAATACTTTCGTGTAATTTAATTATATAAAGGTGGTCCTTGTGGAGAGAGACAAGAGTGAGGAATGGGGGCAAGAAGCATCACATAAATAGACATTGTGTTGAGAGGTTATTATAAAAGTTGATGGTTCAACACCTTTGACCATAGACCTGCCACAATATCATGTCCTACTTGGAACAACAACAACAATAATGATGATGATAAGTTTGCAACAATAGGCAAATGGGAGTGGGGTATCTTAGACAAGCATTTGGCATATAATTGGGTGTTAGAGGTGGGTGGGTGCATCTTTGAGTGTGAATCAATGAGTGTGATGGTGTCACATGGCTATCTTAGAATGACACTATGGAAATGGAATCTTACATGGCCATTTGTGTTTTGCCCATTTATTTTCGTGATTGCTACTTAGTTGCTCATGTGTGTTGTGACTCATTTTCACTCCACAAATGTAGTCACAAATTGGTACAAGAATTTTTCTTCCCCTCTTACTTGAGCAAAGAGAAGATGTAGAAAATTTAATGATTCGATCAATTGTGATATGACTGTAGATATCGAAATTTTAATATTTTATTAAAATTAATGTCTTTATTTATTTTTGGACATAAATAAATCCATGATCAATAAGATATATAATTAATAAAGTTATTATTTCTTGCCCACCAAGTTAAATGTTAGGATAAGAAAAGAGATTATATCAAATCCTAGGAGAAGAAAAGTGATTATGTCAAATCCTGAAGGACCAATCAAATTAAAGTCTTATTCTCCAAGATTCTCACTCCTACACTTATAAATAGAGCTCTCCTCAATGTCACAAAACACGGGGCCTCTCTTACCCTGGGGCCCCCGCTTACCCGAGGCCCACTTTTATATATTTTTTAATATATGTATATATATATATTAATTATTAATATATAATATGAATATAAGATTGATCTTAAATCATTTTTTTATTTCTTAACAAGGCTTTTATATTTCATCTACCTTCTAATTTTCATAATAAAATTAAATAGTAGTTATTATTAGTGATTTTTTTTTTTGCATATTTTTTTTATTCGTTTAATACTTTGCTAATTTTTTCTTGCTTGAATATACAAAATATTATTTTATGATTGGGTAATTCAATTACGTTAATGATAGCCAATAAAAGGGTTAAGTGAATTCAACCTTTTTCAGACGAATTTCAATTTTGATTTCTAATTTAACTTTGTTAAATATAAGTCAAAAATTAATACTTTTCAATAAAAAATCTATATAACTGAGTATTATGTATTTCACTAAACGTTTGTCATATATTAAATGTAAATGAAAGTTTGGAGCTTTGACTGTTTTTTTTTTCTTCTTTGAATAAAAAGATTTTCGATTTTTTTTATTTACGATTCATAAGAAATTTATCAAATATTATTTATAAAATTTAGCTATATCTTTATTTAATTTTCGTTTATTATTGCGAGTTACATTTTGTTTTTTTATATTAAAAAAATAAAAACAGTCAAGGACAACACTTAGAATATTTCGCCCAGGGGCTTATAAAGTTCAGGACCGGCTCTGCAAAAATATCAAACACACCTCAAAATATCAAGCACACCTCATATCAAATACATCTCAAAAATAAAAGTCTCAAATTCAAGAGCTTTAGAAAACCCTCTTGAAGATTTGAAGTTCTTGAAGAACCGCCAGAAGTCCGTTCAATGAAGAAGAAGGCGAAGAAGAAGAAAAAGATGGGGCGAGTCTTTCCCAAGAAGTGAAGAAACGACTTCCACTCTTCTCAAATCATATCAACGACGTTCAAACAACATTCAAGCCGCGTTCGTCGAAAAGTTCAACCATCATAGCTTTTGATCCGGGGAAAAGCTATCAAGCCTTTGAGTCAACGTTATGCAAGCTCAAATTCATATTCGAAGATTTAAATCCAAATCCATGAAGAGAATAACCGGAGGAAATATATAGAGAATGTACCCGAAATATCGCTTGATCGAAATATATTCAAGTTGTACGCAAGTTTATGTTTTCCATAAAATTTGTTGTTACAAATTTGGCACGCCCAGTGGGAACATCTCTATCTCTCATCTCTTCTCTTCAAATCAAGTTGGAGATCTTTGAAGATGCATGAAGACCTCTTTGAAGAAATGTAAACAGTGACAACTAAGGATGATGTCTCCTGAAGCCACGAAGTTGCTAAAATCATCGACTTCATCCAATTCATTCTAATGAAGGCGAGCAAAAGAGGCTCTACAGGTCCTCAACGAAAGTTCCATGGGGCTATGCTCCTTGATATGATCCTAAACTATCAACATATTCAAATGCTCCTTGATATAAGCCTACATTATCTAAATATACAATGCTCCTTGATACGAGCCTAAACTATCTACATATTTAAATGTTTTTTGATACGAGCTTAAACTATCTGCAATGTTCCTTGATATGAGCTTAAACTATCTACATATTCAAATGCTCCTTGATACGAGCTTAATCTATCTACATATGATCCTTGATACGAGCTTAAACTATCTGCAATGCTCCTTGATATGAGTCTAAACTATCTATATGGCTCTTTGACACGAGCATAAAATATCTACATATCAAGATCTCCTTGAGACGAGAATAAAAGGTCTACAATTCAAACTTGAAGGCTCCTTGACACGAGCATAAAATATCTACATATAAAGATCTCCTTGACACGAGAATAAAAGGTCTACATATCAAACTTGAAAGCTCCTTGACACGAGCATAAAATTTCTACATATTAAGATCTCCTTGACACGAGAATAAAAGGTCTATATGTCAAATTTGAAGGCTCATTGACACGAGCATAAAATTTCTACAAATTTGAAGGCTCATCGATACGAGTATAAACTGTCTGTCAAATCAAATCAAGACTCCTTGATACGAGTTTAAACTATCTACATATCATGTCAAATGAAAAAATCCTTGATACGAGTATAAACTATCTGTCAAATCAAATGAAGAACTCCTTGTACGCGTTTAAACTCTCTACAATTCAAGTCAAATGAATAACTCCTTAATACGAGTTTAAACTATCTACAAATTCAAGTCGAAGAACTCCTGGATAAGAGTTTAAACTATCTACATGTCCAAACTCAATTCAAAATTTTGAGACTCATTCACTACCAAGACATTTTGTCCGTGAACACGTCTCAAGGTGGCATTGTACACATCGAAATTTTAATATTTTATTATTTAATATATTTATATATTTTGGGACTTAAATCTAAGATAAATAAGATATTTAATTAATAAAATAATTATTTCTTACCCACCAAGTCAAATCTTAGGATAAGGAAATAGACTATATCAAATCTTAGGATGAGGAAATAGATTATATCAAATCATGAAGGACCAATTAAATTGAAGTCTTCTTCTTCAAGACTCTCTCTCCTACACTATAAATAGGACTCTTCTCTAGGGATGGGAATGGGCCAGGTCGGGCCGGGTAGTGCCATGCCCGGACCTGGCCCATGACCCTACATGCGTGGCCCGCTCTGGCCCGTGCCCCGCTACGGGTCCACTAGGATGGCCCCGAGACCTGGCCCGCGTCGGGGCGGGATGACCCGCCCTGCCCCATAATTTTTTTTTTCTTTCTAGTAAGGCAGCTATATCTCAGTATCTCACCCACAAAGGCAACATAATACATATGTGAATTCTGAATTTAACAAAAAAAAAAAAAAAAAGACAGAAGATGTAAATTACAAATCTCATACAAAAAGTTTTTTTTAAATTTTATTTACAAATGAATAATACAAAAATTAAGCAAATCAAACCTCAAAACCCTAACTAATATCAATGAAATAGCTGCTTCTATTGGCTTGAGTGACACCACCATCTGCAACCGTCGTCTCCCAACTGTGCCGACATCTCTCTTCTTGTCGTGGCTCGTGGCGCCGCCTCCCATTCCCCAGATCTAAAACTGAAAAGATAAAAGAATAAAGAGAAAAAAAAAATCAAAGAATGAAACATGCAATTGAGGGTGAAATTTTGGAAGGAGAATTAGACCGTCTCCAACCGAGACGCAAAACTCAAATTTTAC